GGGAAGAAGGCTACCTGCATCCGTGTATCGATTATCGCCGAGGACGAGCGCATCTCACCCAGCCATCACTTGGATTGGGTTTATACTGGAGATGGCTGCGATGATACTCTGCAGATGTATTTCTGACAAGTTGTATTTATAGGAATTTGCATAAGAAATTACTATTTTAATCATTCATCAACACCTAAACACCAGCTGCTGCAGTTTTAAGATTCCCATGTGACCAACTGTGGGTCAAATGCCCTATTGTGGTGGTCATAACAATATGGATGTAAACTCCTGTGTTGTAGTTATTCTGAAACCATAGCAGCGCTTTTTCCACACCAACACTGTTGTAGGCTACGGCTGGCCATTAGGCCTATAGTGTGACGTACGGTTGACGCACAAGACGGGTTGCCATCTATGAAAAATAATTACCTATACTATGTCTGTAAGCTTCAAATGGGTCTCACTGATCACTGCACAATAAAGGTGCACGAATGTAAAAAAAACACTGGTAGGCTGCATCTTTGTTCATTTTTTCCTAACAAAGAGCATTTTGACAAAAATGAGTGTAGACCATTATTTCATATTCATTTTGGCACACTTCAGCCTACAGAAGAAAACAACACTATAAACCACTGTGAAAGTAACAGACTATGTTGATTCAACTTTGATAAACCCTGACCTCTTCAATAAAATTTAATTTGCCATTTTAATTTGTCAACAATATTCAGGGGCTGACCTGCAAGTCTTTTGTCCACTCACTAATAAAGTTCTTGCAATTTAAGCATGTTGTTGTTTGGTTAACATGGGGGAAGATGCAGCGCCTGGGTGGCTTCTCTCCGGGTGCTCCGGCTTCCTCCCGTAGTCCAAAGACATGTAGCTTAGGTTGACTGGTGACTCTAAATTGTCCATAGGTGTGAGTGTGGGTGTGTGAGATTGTCTGTCAGGGTGTCAGCCCTGTGATAGACTGGCGACTTGTCCAGGGTGGATCCTGCCTCTCGCCCAGTGTCAGCTGGGATTGGCTCCAGCCCACTTCAGGAAAAGCGGTAAAGATAATAGATGGATGGATGAAGGAAGATGCCCCCCTTAAGAGCATCGTCTGTTTACTGGAAAGCTGCAAGGTGTTTGGATATGAATTCAGTATGTATAACAAACCCAGTTTCAGGGGTATTAAATGTCTTTATACAAGTTTTAAAAAATCTTGTAAACCTACCACGGGCAAGATGCCCCCTCAGATTTCTTGTTCCAGATGAACCTAAAATTATTAATGGCCTGTGTTTGTTTTCATTATATCAGTTAGTCAGTTCTATATTGATGTTATATATCGCATTTTCTATTTATTACTTTCATGAGGTTTTCACTTGGTCTGTATAAGATAATATTAGCCTACTGGCTACTTGGTCCTTTAATGCACAATTCTGCTGCCAGTTCCTCCTGTCTCACGCATGATCCCTCATTCTGTTATAATTTCTACATCTTAAAGAGGGATGTTGCTAAATTGCACTCTCACCAATCTTTGTGTGTCTTACTGTATCCTCACAAGTAACACCACCAGAATTAGATGATCTTCTCATGGAAATAAAATGTAATCTCCATTTGAGACAAAGATATTTGGTACCTTTGGTACAATATAAATTACAAGTCAAAAGTTAAGAAACATTCCCACTGAACTGAATGGGAGAAATGCTATGAGGAAAGATGCCCCTGGTGGCTTTTTACCCCCTAACCACTTGGGGACATCTCGCTCCAGATTTTTTTCACATATCATAAAATTATATCAAACAAGCCCATTTTATATTTTGTTCCAATGTGATGTGTTTTGTCTGTGTCTGCCTTTGCCAAAAAATACACATCCTTAAATCCTAAGAAGATAAAATTAGATCAGGTTACCTCAAAATCCTATGTCGTGGTGAATTCAGCAACAGAAACTGGTAAAATGAAGATTTGAAAACTGGATGTTTGAGCACATAGGCAACACAAAAACATTAGCTTTGCTGATATTTGGTTGCCTGCAGGTGGACTTAAATATGGGTGGGCATCTTACCCCGAGGGGCATGTGCCCCCACGTTGCCCTACTCTTTAATGCCCAAAACTGAACAAAATGATGCCAGCTTTTCAGTGCTTTGAGAGTGCTAAACAATAAGGTGCTAATATGCTCCAAAATAATGAAATAAATCCTATTTATGAGTAGGTTCCTAAATTTCACTTATAATGAGGAGGCATACTCAGCTAGGACACATGATCCATGACACAGCCTGGATGTTAGTGTCGCTATGGTGACTTGCTTTTTACAAATAGCGCGGACAATGTCAAGTGTCGCTATGGTTGCAGATGAAAATATGTACGCAGGCTTTTTTTATTAGAAACATCAAGAACTGAATTATATCTGTCTCCATGGTAACATCAGAGTATAAGAGAGGGACGAGAGCTCTATATTTTGCAAGTGATTCTTGCCTATAACTGAAGGAGCATAATAACACTATGAGAAAAAGGGTGTTTAAAATAGATCAAGTATGGACATAACTCAGTGAGGCAGTGAGGTGGTGGCTGTGGATTAATAAGTCTGATCTCATGGCCTTATCACTTTATCACTGCAGCTAGTTGCACTGCATATTGCTTAATTTCAAATAATCAAAAGCAATAGGATATATAATAAAGAGCATGCACTCTAATTCAAAAACTTTTTATAGTTTAACTGATGTTGTAATTTATTTCTGAAAACTTTCTGTCTTCAAGCCTAAATAATGCCCTTAGTTTGAAAAATACCAGCTCTGAGATGGTTCCTCTGGGACATGAGGTCAAACTTGCAGCAGTAGAAGACTGACGTAAGACCAGGAGTTGAGGAGTTAGTTAACACGCTGAGTGTTTTAGTATGCCAGAGCAAGAGATCCTGCTCTTTTTTGTAAACACAGATTTGTGCCATTTCAGCATTATTTAACTCCACAACTCCTTCATATCTGTTCCTACTTCCTCCTGAACCAGCTGGTGGCAGACTTGTCTTGAACCTTGCATGGAATGATGCAGCTGTGACTCAGCCAACTGATTTACATCCTGTACTATCAGCTGTAACTCTGTCTGGTTTTGTGGATTACACACTCTGTAACTAAATGATGTCTTAAAATGATAAAACTACACAGAGTTACTGTATATTTAGCCATCTAGCCTGCACAGCATAGTACATATAGCATGTGAAACTCAGGTCTGACAAAGGCACTATTTATACAGACAAGCAAGTGAAAAACAGAGCAGTGAATTCTTACCAAAGAAGGAAAACATGCACTTCAGTGAGTTAAAAATACATTTTTTCTTCCTCATGTTTAATAGTGATCTCCCAGGTCAAGTCTTCTTGAAAGCCTTTTAACAATAACATGTGAAAGCTGAAGACCTCCAGAGCAGCAACAATAAACAACTATAGCAAAGTTTCAAGTTTACTTGGAAGCTCTTAAGACAAAACTCTGAGATCAACCACCAGACTTTTTTCATCCTTGCATCACTCATGCTGCAGTGATTAAAGCAAGTCCAATGTTGTACTTGTGCAGTCTTGTACTGACAATAAAGCATAACTCATGAAACCTAGGTGACCACACGAGTTTTGGAAACACGAGCAGTGTACTTATAGTTCCATTAACTATTTCTGGAAGATACATCCACAGATAAACATGGAAGGTAATTAAGTACATTTAATCAAGTAGTGTACATATGTACAGTTTTGACATACTTATATTTTAATCAAGTATTTCCATTTGTGCTACTTTTAATCACTACATTTTCTTCTCATCATTTATTTGATAATTTTTGTTATTTTGCAGATTCCAATTAATGATACAAAATAAAATTAACATTTAAATTTTGATTATTTCTGATGAGACTACCCAGCAGTATATATGTAAAGAAGTTAAAATAACCCCACCTTTAATAAATGTACTGATTATTATATGTACATTAACCCGGAGGAAGTAGGATGATATGATGAAGAGCTGCCTACAAGTCTGAACTCAGACCAAAAAAAATTCCAAAGCACCCAAAGAGAGTTTGGGAAATTATTCTGCTTGGCTACATGGCTATATTGACTCCTTTAGTAAATTTAATGTGCGTTAGTCCCGCCCGCCTGCGCTGCCTTGACAAGCGTAAGTAACAAACCACCGGTGTCGACGAATCGAGCTCATCCATAGTGGCTTCTGTCCTTACCGAAAACGTGCAAACGTGAAGAAACCGTGGAGGACCGCAGTGAACTGGGTTTTACTGCAGGTTTGTTTTCCTACCTACCATATGTCGCCAGTTTGGTAGTATATCGTCGCGTCTGTTAAGCAGTTAATTATCTACTTAACCTGATTTAACGGCTAACATTAGCTGGACCGTTCGGCCGTGTTCGTGTTATTTTGCGCTAGTGAATACTGTACAGTCGCAACGTGTACACTTGTAGCTGGTAGACACGCCTCGCAGAACAGAAAACAAGTCGCTAGCTTAGCAGAGCTGTTGGCATAGCAGAGCAATCTAACGTCAGTTTAGCAAATAAGCTAACGTTAGCTAGCTAACTTCTGTCAGGTGATACACATATCCTCCCCCTTCTTTGCTTGCTAGGAATTGCGCAGTTTATGTAGTTTCTTGGGATAGCTGCATAGGTTTTAGATGTCGATGAAAAGGGGGGGAAAAGGCTAGATATAAGAAGTTACAGTAACGCTACGTGCTGTCTAAACATTTGTCATTGCACAAATGCACCTACAAATGTGTGTTTCCCAGAGAACCTTATTACACATTGAGGTGGCTGTGGGTGCTGTTGAAAACACCCATGATAGTTAAAATGGGCGCAGCTCATTTCTAATATATGTAGACGTTCACCAGCATCCCCCCATAAGTTTAGCAAGGCCTCAGTACAGGAGTGATGCTTGCAGAAGTGCAGAGTGCTTTTGCAGTGTTCACTAGCAACAGTAGGCAGCGCATGTAGGTGGACTGCATGTGCACAGTGGAGCAGGATTTATACATAGAATCACAGAGATCCTGTTATAACGCTTGACTAAACACACATCATGCTTCCTGCTACAGTATTTGGCTCATTGTCTTTCACACGATTTCTTTTACATTAACCCAGCTTGTCAGCTAGATAAATAGTTTCAGTCATTTCTCAAGCAGCAATTACCAAACATTGTTTGATATGTAAGGATTTGCTGCTTTCCCTCATCTTATGGGGTAGTAAACTGAATGTATTCAGATTTTAGACTGCTATTTGGACAAAACATTATATCTGAAGATGTCACACTGGGCTTTGGCAACATGTGATGGACATCTTTCTTGGTTTTCTGACATTATTGGCCAAGCACTTAATCATTACTTTAAAAAAAAGGTCATCAGTTTAGCTGATAATAAAAATAATGGCTAATTGCAGCTCTAATCAGAATATTTGACCAGATTTACTATGTGACTCCATTGATGCCTTCTCTTCCAGCAGATCCAGGGAGTGGAACCTCTTTGCATTACGCTGCAGGTGCAAGACAATGGAGGCAAAAATCGAACGGCAGGACGAAGACATTGCATTCAGCAACACTGACGCTAATGGTAAGATGATCAGTTTTAATTTTTATAAAGAAATATTCAGCCATTTATGACCATACTGTAAAAGAACTGAGCTGTTATATCCAGCTTGAAAAACTGTGTATAATATACCAGATAATTACTTCACTCAAGAGAGACAAAAATGAAAAAACTGAACATTCCTGGCATTGACTACATAGCATGTGGACATGTCAGATGGTTGAGGGACTCTCCTGTCCAAGATGTTTCTGTTCGGTAGGTTCCTGCACAGATCAGACTGTGTTTTAATCCATGAAGGGTACATGGTGGTGCTGGACGTGCTCCAGGATACAGTTGGCTGCTGAATGAAACCCATTCTTGGTTGGAACGTGCTGTACGGCTAGCACTCGCCACTGTGTTTATATTTTTTGTCACTTCTATTAATTCTTCAGTCACTGTAGTCCATAGTAATAATTACGTCCCCTTTGCCCTTTTTTTTTTAAAACAATAAATATTGCGTTGGTGTTGCCCTAATTTCTTTTTTATCCTGCCATACTGAGGTGCAAACTTTTTGAAATTTTCAAATTCTACACAACAACATTAAAGTTGTTACCTAGGACATCTGTAGTAACTGATGAATACATTGCACAGAATGACTGCCTGGCTCAGATTTGACCTGAAATGTTTTCCTCTCAGGTAAACGCCCAGCTGAGGACATAGATGAGGAGCAGGCTTTTAAACGTTCACGCAATACTGATGAGATGGTGGAGCTGCGTGTGCTGCTTCAGAGCAAAGTAAAGACCTGTTCAGTTCACACAGTGAGCAAAAATGTTTTTTTTTTTTTTTCCATACCGATCAAATGAGATTTCTTTTTCTAAGGAAACCCTCTTTTTTGCAGAATGCTGGCGCTGTTATCGGAAAGGGTGGAAAGAACATAAAAGCCCTACGTACAGATGTGAGTAAATGGATAAAATGGTGATAACATTTCTGCAGCTGAGGGGAGAAATGTAGTTGGCTGATGCCTGTTTGTTGCAGAACCTGCACGCGTCTTTTTGCACATAGCAAGTGTGCTCTATTTAAATACTGTCGAGAGATATTTACATTGTAAAGATCTATTATTTGAACCCCCGGTTATTGGATTCCTTCAGAAAAATTTCCAGATTCCTTGTCAGCAGGTTTTTAATCATTTGACATCAAGAGCGGACATGCACTGTTAGTCACTGAACCCAAGTGGACAGACAAGAAAGGCCTTGTTAGACAGATCAATTGGATTTTGTGTCCAGACCTCGTGTGAGTTTGAACCTGAGGCACTGTAGTTCTCGAGACTGTTTAAACTTATCTTTGTCCAGGTCACACTTCCTGTTCTTCTTCACTCACCACAGTTTCAAGTCTCTCATTTCACTTTTGGGACAACGTATAGCGTATATTCAATTAAAAATGTATTCCTTCTCCCCCTTTTCCCTTCTCCTTTACTTTTTTTTTATTTTTGGCCACCTTCCTCTGTTGCCCATGTACTGGATCGACTTGCCCCTCCTGCGTTGCCCACCTTGACGTTGGCCCAACCTCCCCCCGCCCCTGAACAACCGCCCGCCCGCCCACCTGACACTCCCGGTTGGCCCCGCTCATAAACCGTGCCCCTCCTTAAACGGGTGCCTAACTTGACATCATGTGATTGAATGCCCTTGCCCAATGCCAACCTCCTCCACCACAACCACCACCACCATCACCACCACCTCGGCCCATGCAGTACAATGCCAGTGTATCAGTCCCAGACAGCAGTGGCCCAGAGCGGTATGTCCCACCAGTTATTGCCTCACTGCCTGATAAGTACAGTGAAACACATGTCTTTGATATCCTGCCTTCTGTTTCATTTTAACATTTAATATACATAAAAGTATACTTCCCTATCCCCCAAACACCCCCTCCTCCTTGTAAGAGATGTTTTTTTCCTTTTGATTTTTCTGTCCATTTTAAGCATCTCCATTGAGTTGCTTCTTGTCATTACAGTTGTCCAAGTAGCGAATCACTGACAACCCACTACCTAGTAGCTGGTATTTGATGGTTAGCAACACAGCTGTCAGATGTTGTTTTTCCATGCTGTGATGTTTAATTTTACCATGAAACTTGTGGGAAGCAGACATCTTTCTGTCCCTCTGTCCGCCCCTTCCTCCCTCTCTCCCATTGTGCATCAGAACAGAGCTGCCTTCCAGCCCTTTCATAGCCTCAAACTCCACCCCCCTCTTGTCCTGTGCCACAGAGTAGTTGGTAACCACTCATATTTCCTTCCTCACCTCAACTCCTCTGCTCTGTTGCTCTTTTCTCCTGCCCACCCCTTCTCCTCCTCACCTCAGCCCCAAGCCCTCTCCTCCCCATCTCTTCCTGTTTCCCAACCCCCCTGGTCACAATGAAAAGGTGTGCTGGTGGTGCAATTGTCATGGCAGGTTATTGTCTCAGTTTATGTTCCTTTGCCCAACTTCCTGGTGGTGGGATGGTTATAGAAGAAGTCGCTCTCACCCCTCGCCCAACTCTGTGGCCAGTCTCACATTAATTTGAGCAGTTCTGAAGCTGCCTATTCTCCCAAGATTTCTCTTACTTTGAAAATGCTGTTAGATTGAGTGCATGTCAGCTGCTTATTGAATCAGTTTAGTTTTGGGAAAAGGTATAATTGTGCATAGTATGCAGGAGGCCTTATTTTCCTTTTTTAGTTTGAAACCTTTTGTAAGTCTCTGCGTAACTGTTGGACCACTTCTCACATTTGCTTTTATCAGATTTTGCTTTGTGTTCTATTGTTTTCCCCTTTATAATGTCTTGCTCACTTTGGGCCAAAATGGTTCCTGACAGGATCCTGAGTGTGAACGCCAGTATCGACACTATTGGAGAGATTCTGCTGAAAATCATACCAACTCTGGAGGAGGTAAGCCACCATGATAATTACATTGTTAATTATGTATACATGAGTAGAGGGCAGTCCAGAATGATTGCTTTTTGAAATCTGTAGCCTGTTGGAATTAAGAGAATAGAAAAAAGAATGTTTGGACACTAGTAGTTTGTTTGTCTCATGCACACACAGAAGGACACAGAGGCTAACAAAGACAGTGAAGAAGAAGACTGCAAGCTTAAGCTTGGATGCAAACAACACAGGATTCAAAATATTCAAAACAAAATCAACTTTAGAAATGCATGCAGTACATTTGTTAGACCTCAAAGATTCAAACTGTGTGTTCTTGTAAGAAACGGTAAGACATACAAGGGAACTGCACAGGACACCTTTAAAATGAGACCTAAAACAAAACAAAACAAAAAAAAAATTGAAAATCAACTGGTGCCACAGATTTTTTTCTTTTAGTCAGGAGGCATTAAACTGGCTGCCATAAATTACACCTATGGCTAAAATAAGATGACATGAGCTCTACACAACAAGACTGACCTAAACCCACTTTTACTTGGTCGAGACACATTGGGTCAAAGACCAGAACTGACCATAAGTGACTCAGTTTTACTGCAGTGGTCTTTTTAAATCACTTCTGTCAGTGTGAGAGCCTGGACCTGGACTTTGACTTGTACTGCGTTGTCTCCCATGCAATGGCAGCCCATACTAATATTGATCCACTGCCATATTAAACAACATTGCTTCAGATGTGTCCAACCATCAAATGAAAAGATTACACATGGTCCAGCTTTTGTGTGCTCCTTAACACATTATGCATCTTACTCAATTAACGTTGGATGTATTTTTGAAGTGACGTCTCTGCTACCTTTGAGAAGCTCCCAGTAATTAGCCAATATCTAGACTTGTCACAGAAATGATTGTTATTTTTGATGATTTTCCAACTGCTCAGTCAAATATTGGTTTCTTTAATGAGAGTAAAGATTTCAGTGGATTTCCAAATTGTGTGTGATCCTGACACTTCTGGACTAAAGCTAAAAGCCCACCTCATTTTGGATTTGCATACAGTAGGGTGGCTGTCATTTTCCCCCCACATTGCCATCATAGAGTATCTGATTGCAGAAATGCTTTGTTATGCAACTGTAGGAAGAATTTCAGACTCTTCTGACATTACTGATCTTGGCGTTGTGTTGCTCTAGTACCAACATTATAGTGGAATTGATTTTGACTGTGAGCTTCGCCTGCTGATCCATCAGAGCTTGGCAGGCGGGATCATTGGGGTGAAAGGTGCCAAGATAAAGGAGCTGAGAGAGGTAGGACCAAGTTCAGATTTGCTCCATAACTTGGTTTGGAGTTGAAAATATATTGACTTTTTACTTATTTAACAAGAGTAGTAGCAGTAATGGCATAATATACGTGTATTTAAGGAAAATTATGTTTTTGCTGGTGGCATTGGCTAGTTCAGTAGCAGTCGTATTCATGTTTCTGTGCCAGAACACCCAGACCACCATTAAGTTGTTCCAGGAGTGCTGCCCACACTCCACTGACAGAGTCGTCTTGGTGGGAGGAAAGCCTGAACATGTCATTGAATGTATAAAAGTTATTCTGGAGCTGGTGTCAGAGGTGAGTTCACAGGCCTGAGATCTGCTGAAAACCCCAGCATTCTTTAAATGGTCATGCATTTCATCTCATGCAAATAAATATAATTACTTGAAGCTGTAATTGTTTTTTTTCTTGCTCTTTATAGCTTATTTCAACAAGTATTTTAGAGCAGACAAGGCTTGTGCAGTCTCTTTAATTTCCTTTGTCTTCACTTGCAGGCACCAATCAAAGGTCGTGCCCAGCCTTATGACCCCAACTTCTACGATGAGACGTATGACTATGGAGGTTTCACAGTGTTATTTGAGGAGAGAGGCAGACGTCCCATTGGTGGCTTCCCCATTCGTGTTCGTGGGGGTTTTGAGCGCATGCCCCCTGTTCGTGGCAACAGATCCATGCCTCCCTCCAGAAGGGACTATGATGACATGAGCCCCCGTCGGGGTCCACCGCCGCTGGGCAGAGGCGGACGAGGGGGCAGCCGAGCACGTAACCTGCCTCTTCCCCCGCCACCGCTGCCAAGAGGAGGGTGAGGAGGTCCTATTTATTTTGGTTTCTTTCCCACCTGAACTGCTTGCTTTCAAGTGGTTTCGTTTCAACAAATGAAAAGAGGTAAACCAGAGGCATGTTGAGTTTATGCCCAACTCGTGAATATTTGAGCAGTTTCTCAGTGAAAAGTGACTGCACAGTAGCCATCCTCCTGTAATATTACATTACACTGTAAAATACCTTTTTATCCTGTTTGTCTGTTGTTTCTGAGTTGCCATCTCTACTAAAATGCTCAATCAATTGTTAGTCCCTTCTGAATCGAGCTCAGATAAATATCCTCACAAAGTGCATCCATGATTTTCAATGAGTCAGCAGCGTTTGATTTCCCCACATGGAAACATGTTGTGATAACAGTGCAGGATTACAGCAACAGTTACTGTCCAATCAATGAGTTATATGTCAGTCCATAGAACTTAAGAGCCCTTGATTCATTTGTAAAAGCAGTTGTGAAGGCAACACTTTGGTTTCTTTGTCTCTGTTCTGGACCAGATGAACCAAACCACAGGTGTGAATGCGACCTTAGATGTCCAGTGTACAAATGTACAGTATTTTTGGGCATTTTGATTTAATTTTTCCAACACTCTTTGCTTGTATGACATTGTTTGCAGGGGAGACAGGTTCTCACATGGCAGCTACCACAGCAGCATGGACGACAGACCAAGGTGAGTATGAAGGAGGATCGTCACTAAAAGCCAGAATTCACATTATTATTGAATAAAATCTGTGGGTGTGGCAAACATGAACAAATGACGGTCAGGTAAAAACAGTGGGAATTACATGTAGCCTACTAAAACAGCTCAAATAATAAATTTAGAATAATGTTCATCCAGTTTGTCAACAGAACAACAGAATCATGTTGTACTAACACAGTTTTTATTAGGAATAATGTACTATTGAATACTCAGATTAGTTCAAGTGGCTTCTTTTTTCTGTACTTTTGATCATTGTTTATTAAGTTTCTATCAACAAAACAACACTTCCTGATGTTTTTCACGTTAAAAGCCTACTTCTAAGGAAAAGGTTTTAGTATGAGAAAATTTGGGAGGAAGTGTTTGATTCATGGTGGGGGGAAGTGGAACACCGGACATGACTCTTGCTATGAAAATGGAAATGATCCTTAATTTATCAGACCTTCTTGTGTGCAGTGACAGAAGAGGCCGAGGAGGAGACCGTTATGACAGCATGGTGAGTGACGTCGGCATGTACAGATGCTGTTGTGATGCTAGGCTACGTGTTTGTAGCTTCCTAGTCGTGTAGCAGGTGTTTGTGAATTGTGTTTCAGATAAAGTGATTGGGAATCCTCTTTCTGAATGTAGTACAGAGCACGGAGGCATGGACGCTGTGCTGTGTTTCACCGTGTATGCACACTGATTTTAGGCCTGTTGTTGCCTGGCAACAGTTGTCTCCTTGGTTACCACAGAGCAGCTGAGGATGTAGTCCAGAGATCCACCAGGCTAGCAAATGAACCTGAGCCGAAAAGAAAGCAATTCCTGAACAGGTCCCCTTCCGGTCACAGCTGCAAGCAAACTGTTTTGATAACAAGGCAAATAGGTTTGATTGGATAAATATCAATAGATGCCCGTGAATTCCCAATAATTAAAGTCAAACATGGTTTGCTTAAGAATATGACAACTATCAGACTCTGATTTTGCTTATCAAAGTGCAAATGAATTTCAGCAGCGAGAGCCTTAAGAGTTAAAAATAATAATAATAATAAAAGAATTTTATTACAGACTTCATAAATACAACATGGCCAAAGCTGCAAAGTGTTTACATGCTCAGCTAACTCAAAACATTTAGCAAATGTGCTAGTGTTTTTAACTACAGTCTCATAAATTGAACAAAAATAAAAAATAAAAACATTATTATGGCATGGTGCAAAAGTTTGGGCACCCTACACAATCAGTACTTAGTAACACCTCCTCTGGCAGATATCACAGCTTGCAAACGCTTTTCATAGCCAGCTAAAAGTCTTTCAATTCTTGTACTTGGGATCTTCTCCCATTCTTCCTTGCAAAAGGCTTCTAGTTCTGTAATATTCTTTGGTCGTCTTGCATGCACAGCTCTTTTAAGATCTACCCACAAATTTTCAATGATGTTTAAATCAGGGGACTGTGATGGCCATTCCAAAACCTTCAGCCTGCGTCTCTTGAGGTATTCCATAGTGGATTTCGAGGTATGTTTAGGATCATTGTCCTGTTGTAGAAGCCATCCTCTTTTCAGCTTCAGCTTTTTTACAGATGGTGTGATGTTTGCTTCCAGAATTTGCTGGTATTTAGTGGAATCCATTCTTCCCTCCACCCGTGCAATGTTTCCTGTGCCACTGGCTGCAACACAACCCCAGAGCATGATAGATCCACCCCCATGCTTAATAGTTGGCAAGGTGTTCTTTTCATGAAATGCTGCTCCTTTTTTTCTCCAAACATGCCTTTGCTGATTGTGTCCAAAGAGTTCTATTTTAACTTCATCAGTCCACAGCACTTGTTTCCAAAACGCATCGGGCTTCTGTAGATGTCCTGTTGCATACTTCAGACGTTGGATTTTATGATGGGGACGCAGATAAGGTTTTCTTCTGCTGACTCTTCCATGAAGGCCTTGTCTGTGCAAGCATCGCTGCACAGTGGAACGGTGCACCACCACTCCTGAGTCTGCTAAATCTTCCTGCAGGTTTTTTGCAGTCAAATGTGGGTTTTGATTTGTCTTTCTGACCAGCATACGAGCAGTTCTGTCCGAGAGTTTTCTTGGTCTTCCAGATCTCATCTTGACCTCCCCAGTTCCCCTGATCTGCCATCTCTTAATTACATTTCTTACTGTGGAAACTGCAAGCTGACAACGCTTTGCTATCTTCTTGTAGCCTTCTCCTGCATTGTGGGCATCAATAACTTTCATTTTCAGGGTCTTACACAGCTGCTTAGAGGAACCCATGGTTGCTGGGTGTCCGCAAGTGTGTGCACAAGGTTTGAAGAGTCAAGGTATTTGTACAGCTTTGAAATTGGCATTTACCAATGACAACTGTTGCTGTGCATCAGATCTAACGAGCTGATTAAGGTCTGAAACCTTGTGAGAGACTTTGAGACTCTGGAACTCTTAGGGTGCCCAAACTTTTGCACCATGCCATAATCATGTTTTTATTTTTTATTTTTGTTCAATTTATGGCATAAGAAGTAACTATGCATCACTGTTTGCAGAAAATATTGTGCATTTTTTCCATTTCCAAGAGAAACTGTGTTAACATCTGTTCAAATAAAAAATCACCAAAATCTGTTATTTATCAAGGGGTGCCTAAACTTTTGCATAAGACTGTATTTAGAATATTTGTCCTAATGCAGACTGTTAATGTTTGAACAGACAGAGGATGGTTTTATTGGGTTAATTCAAATTATTACTGTGCATTTAAATGACCTAAATATAGACAGTTAATTATTTGATTAAATTAGCACACCAATGAACCACGTCTTTAAAAAGTGATATCCCAGACGGCTGAAAGCTCAAGCACTAAATAAGCTGAATATTTTGACCCAGTTTCAAAGTTGCTAAGTTCTAAAGTTTGAGTGGCTGCCTGTGACTAATGTGAAATATGAAATTACTATTATTGCAGTATTTTTTTTTCTCCTGGCATTTGAATCTCACCTCATCCTCTAAAATGTACTAAGGACCCCTCTTCAAAGTAACCATAAGTCCGAGGGCAGTGTGAACTCTGGTCTTCTCACTGTTCAGCAGAAATATGTTGCAGGATGCAGGAAATCTTCAAGACAAAGCAGCAAACATAAGAAAAATGTCATCTTAACTCAGTGCCTGCAGGTGGCACAATAGTAAGTATTGCTGGAGGTTTTGGTAAATGGACTGTATTTTATATAGCGCTTTCTCACAGTGTGTTGCACTGGCCAAAGCGCTTTACAGAAGGTCATACACCATTCACACACAACATTCACACACCGATGACAACAGGCTGCCACGCACCGGCGCTAGTCAAGCCACCGGGAGCAATTCAGGGTTCAGTGTCTTGCTCAGGGACACTTAGGCATGTGGGGAGACCGGGAGTCAAACCACCAACTTGTTGGTCAGGAGATGACTGCCCTACCTCATGAGCCACATGAGTTTCCTTTTTTGTTGAAGGTACACCACACATCTACTACTGTGCAGCTGTGACTCTTATTTCTAAACGTTTATGCCCGTTGAGCTTAAACTGCAAGGCTGAACTGGTGACAGTTGAAGGTGCTTTGCAGTCATGACGCTGTTTCTCCCTGTGGGAGTCTATCAAAGAAAATATGTTTCCATGTCAGATTTTGGTCACATTATCACCATTACATTATTGAATGATCATGATCAGTGTTTTTCAAGTGAATAAACTCAAAAAGATGCTGAAAGAAACACTCAATTCAGGATGGTCCCAAAGTTACTTCAGATGTTTTGGTGGCCTGTAGGTCTCAGGTTTAAAACCAGTAATGCACTTTTCAGATAAAGCATGAATCTCACTGAAGAACATGCAGGGACTACTCAAGGCTGTGGAATCAGTACTGACTCAGGTCCTCGTGAACTTTTCCAGCACCTTGCTGAATATGTGCCTCAGATAATTCAGGATATGCTGGATACAAGAATAATGATACTGGCCAGAATGTTTGTAATATTGTAGAGTGAATTCTGTGTCTTTTTTTTTTTATTGCACAGGAATCATTATTGTGACATTAAAATTGTTTTCTCTCTCTCTCTTTTTTTTTTTTGTTTGTTTGTTCACTAATTGATCCTGAACCGCAGAGCGGAGGTGGATATGGTGAGTGTACATATTTATATAAATCCTCAATAGATTGACAGTTAATGAAAAATGTTTTTTACCGTTTTGCTTTGTTTTTTAGTTTTGGCCATCATTCTTCTCAGATATATCATATGGGGACACAGTTACTCCTTAAAAAACACAGTTATCCTGTAATTTACTTGTTAGAGCACAAAGACCTTCTGGCTGTACTGTGTGTTTACTATCACACTGTCTCTCTGTGTATCTTTGGTTTTCACTTTCTGGTTTCCTTTTCAATGTTTTCTAAGATAACAACTCTTCCTGGGACCACTTTCAGTCTGGTGAGTGTTAATTGATTGTTGTTGTCCCAGTGTCTTGTTCCCTAACCTGAAGGGATTGCTTCATGTTGTTTCATAAAGACAGATTCACCTTACATGCACTTCTTCACTTCCTAGGTGGTAGAGGGTCATACAGTGATATAGGAGGCCCAGTCATCACAACACAGGTCACCATCCCGAAAGATGTAAGTAAGGAATCTGTTCACACTCCAAAACACATGACTCTTAGAGTAAAATCCATGTGTGTGGTTGTTGTGCAGCTGGCTGGCTCCATCATCGGTAAGGGCGGCCAGAGGATCAAACAGATCCGCCACGAGTCTGGGGCATCCATCAAGATTGATGAACCACTAGAGGGCTCTGAGGACCGCATCATCACCATCACAGGAACACAGGACCAGATCCAGAATGCCCAGTACCTGCTTCAGAACAGGCATGTGCTTCTGTGTTTCTCCCTGAAAAACTAAATGATCTCGCTGGTGTGGTCTTCTCTGACGGTCGCTGGAGAGAAGTAGACAGCTTATCAGTTGATGCGTTGTTTACTGTCCCAAATGGTAAATGTATGAAACTTCTAACACAGATATAAAAATGAATAACTTACAACATACAGTGCGTTTGTTCCTATATAATATTACCTGTGCTTTACAGTATATACAGTACAGCTACTACAATTGGTACTGCTTTTTAGTTTTTGCCTCAGACATTATCTATAATCAGTGACAGAAACTCAGCACTAGAGCGATGCTAATTGGTCAATGAATTGACAGCTGTTAACCGATTACTCATTTTAATCTTTTTAAAAATCACATTCTTTTTTTGTGGTTCTTTCACTTTAAACTGTAATCTGAATGTGTTTGAGGTCTGTACTTTTGTTCTCACACTGAAATAAATGCAGGGCATTTCTCTATTTTGTAACAAAGAATAAATACATAATCAATAGAAAAGATAGTTGGCAGATTGATAATGAAAACAATCATTAATTGCTGCCCTAATGTGTTAAACATAATGTACAAACTTAATGTTCCTTAAATCAGTATTTTATAGCTTTAGATGTTCAGATTTTGTATAGTATGTCAGAATGTAAGTGCGTTCTTTTTCTACACTGGTATTTCATTTTGAAGCACTTTTCAGTTCACACATTTCTTTTTCCCATTATTAAATGGCTTAGCTGGTCTCACCGGTCATATCGCTTCTTGCAGACAATTTATTTTCAGCCTTGACCTTCGCACACTTTCTATACTGTATCTTAACATTGTGCTCCTCATAAAATTATCTTAGTTTGCAGCATCCAGCTTTACCAGCTCCTGTCCTATGTCCTTTTCCTGTTAAAATAAATATTCCTTAATGTGATCATGAAATGTCCTGACCTTTATCTGTCTCTGATTTTAGTGTGCGGCAATATTCAGGTCGATTCTTCTAGGAAGAAAGAAGTGAAGAAGAAGAGAGAAGCCATGCTGCCATACTGTTTGCTCCTTCTATTCAGAGCCTACATTCCTCTGCTTTGGGTAGATGTGCCCCCTCCCCCCACCGTCACACACTACACCACCTATCTGTACATTATATGTTTTATTTAGAAGAGTTTCTGAAAAACCTTAAGCTGTCAAACAGCAAACATGGAGTCAACATATTTCTGTGCTGGTGTAATTATTTTTTGGGAGACTCTTGTGCCATCGTTGGAGTAAAATCATCTGCTAAGTGATAACTTTTGGTGTTGTGAGTCACCCCTCGCTCTTATCTCCCTCATTTCAGTACAGCATGCAGAATTGAATCTTTTTGTAAGGAACATTGATATTTGTTTTTCTTTTTGTCTACCACAAATGTTGAAGCACTTTCTCCAGATGAAGATACATGGACTTTAAATGGTTAAAGAACCATTTAAATAAACTTTAACTTTACATCCAACATCCTTTTCTACCCTTGGGCGAGTTTCACAAAGATGGCTCATATCAAACTAGTAATCAGACTTAATGTTTATCAGTTGCAGAAAGCTGTCTAGTTCTTGACCATCTTAAGTAGAACTGATTTACCATGAAGACCAAGTTGAATAATAGTCAAAACCCCCAGAAGGTTCAGTTTACTAGAGTCTTGACCAGAGAATATTCACATGTGAAATTTTGCCAGAATTTGTCAAGTAATTGTTTCAGCACTAGTGGACTGGTCGATTTCCAGTTGTCTGGGTAAATAATGAACAGTGGCGGTTCTACATTGAATTACTCCCTGGGCGAGATGAACTCTCCTCCTACGCCCGCGCCCCCTCCCCTCCCCTTTTCACCTCCCTCTCACACAGCTTCTGTGCACGGCACCTTCTCATCAAGCAGGGGCGCCACATATGATAGATAATAGAAAACTGCTTAGCGGCGCAGATTATTTTTTTTCCAAGTGCTTGCGCCGCCCCCCACGTGTCATGAAAAAATGCTGCCCGGTTCGCCCATGCCAGAAACCGCCACTGATAATGAAGCTGCCATGCATAGCTGGGGTCAACAGGGGCCAGTTGACCATTAGCCCCTTGGCGTCCGGTAGATTCTACAGCATAGAAGTGTAATGTGGCCATGTGTGCAAGTATCATAATCCACTATCATCACCTCTAAACATGTTGGATCTCATTTGGTTTGTTTAGTCTGCACTAAAACAAACATTCATCACTTTACAGGGGCTTACATGTTGGGCAGTTTCTTTTTTTTTTTTTACTCTGAGCAGTAACTTTCTGGAGTCTGCTGCCTCCCAGTCACAAAAATAGTCTGATATGTAGCCAGTGTTGCTGTTGTCCAACTGGGCTTCTACTTTAATTGAGCAAGGAAAATTTGTTCTGGGTGAGCTGTTGTAATGTGGGCCATGTATGTACCATAAGGGAGGTTTAAGGAGCTTCTGAGCTGTTGGTACTGTTACTGTTGTTCAACCAGCTGCCATCAGAGATGAGAGCAGTGTCTACTCATCTAGGCTAACTTTCTGCCATAAGACAATTACTGTAAATGCATTTCCCAGAATGTCAAGGGTTTGCTGGAAGTTGGGCTAAATGTGCCAGTGTGATTGTGCTAAAAGTAATTTAATTTAAGAGTTTGTTTTTCTTTGAAAGAGAAGGAGCTGTATAAAGTAAATGAGCACGCATATATATATATATATACACACACACACACACACAGTGGGTACGGAAAGTATTCAGACCCCCTTAAATTTTTCACTCTTTGTTATATTGCAGCCATATGCTAAAATCATTTAAGTTCATTTTTTTCCTCATTAATGTACACACAGCACCCCATATTGACAGAAAAACACAGAATTTGACATTTTTGCAGATTTATTAAAAAAGAAAAACTGAAATATCACATGGTCATAAGTATTCAGACCCTTTGCTCAGTATTTAGTAGAAGCACCCTTTGGAGCTAATACAGCCATGAGTCTTTTTAGGAATGATGCAACAAGTTTTTCACACCTGCATTTGGGGAT